TGAATATTGTGTCCACAATTATGAATTGCATAGTTATATAAATTCTTTGTCTGATCTGTTTGATGGATTAAAGCATTTATGATCCTTAGAATATGCTTTATTTATGAATTTTGATCTTATATGCAATTTATGGTGATAATAGAGGCTAATGAAAGATTATTATGTGTTGGTTTGGTATCAACATAAAATTTTGAAAGAATTATATGATTATGTTCAAGTTGAAATCTTTATTTATTAAGCCTCTCATTTGTGAAAAATCATGTAGAATATTATGAGATATTCTAGGGTCAATTTATTAAATATTACGGCATGAGAATTGATTATGTGATCTATGATCTACTTCGCTGATTTACTACATGTTGAGTATGAAAGACCTGCTGAATATTGTTAAGCAGTGTGGTATTGCCTTTGTAGTTTCAAGTTAAGACTGAAATTGGTTAATCAAAACCATGATAACGAACATGTCTTTTGATGAAGTATGAATAAATTACATGGATCTACTACCATGAAATTGTGTTTTGAAAGAAACAATTGATTTTCTTAAATTGTTAATCCACAATCATTTGATGGAACATTTTGTCATAGTGGTTATGGGAACATGCTAAAAAAATATATAAGAATATTTGAATATGAATTTATTTGATATTCACTAATTGGTGTATGCAAGTGTTAACTCTATTTTGAAGGAAATTTATGTTCTTTCACTTGAGATATATAATTTTGGCACTCATATGGTTAAATGGTTGAAATCTTGATGTGCATACTATACTATTGCAATAAAATTCATGATATTGCATATGTTACATATGGACAAATTCTAATGTGTAAGACTTTATTGAAAGAAATTATGTGAATATGAAAGAAACTGTGTGAACTCTCATAACCATTTCCTCTATAGAAAATGAAAAATTACATGTGGTTACTTTCGTGGCTCTTTTCTTGTATTCGATTAGATGAATTTGCGAAGAAATATAGATTGGTGGATGCTATAAGTGCAATATGAGAATGGTATGGTTCATTCATATGCATGTAATATTAAAATTGTGAGAATGCCAACTAATTGTTTGATTTCATGTCTTCTTAAACTCATATTAATTTGGGTTAATGTTGATAGCCTCATTTAATCCTATGGAATTAAGTGAAATGACTTTATGCCAATTATATTTGCATAAAGTATGATAGATTGTGACTTGTTCTAGTGAAAATTGCTTGTGAAATTATTGAGACATGGAAATACTTTGTAGAGCACAAACTGTGCTTAAAGCTAGTGGTGGTAACAAATATCCTTTTCATTCAAATTTGAAAAAGTTTGAATGTGGTGAATTAGTTGGTTAAATTTTCATATCCGGTTAGAATTTATACTAACTTTTGGTAATAGCCTCAATTAATTATATGAAATTAAATGAGATGAACTTATACTAAATTATGTTTGCATATGAGTATGACAAAATGTAATCTTGTCCGAAGTTAAATAAGGTGAATGTATGCCTTATTATTTGATATGATGATATCTTGTGAAAAGTGATAAGTTGTACATGTTTGAAAGAAGTAGTACTTGGTCTTCTTCATTGATTGAATTGGACTTCAATCATCGAACCAAATTGAGTTGGTTTATGCTTGAAAAGCATTAATGGTCCATGAGATGACTTTGATCAAATTGTGTGATCCAAGTGATAAGTGAATTGAACTTTGAACGAGTTGATGAACTCTAACTTCAAGTGTAACTGGAAATGTGAGGGGTTAACACTAACGCTTGTGAACTTATATGAGAAGTTCAAAGATTTGTGGATGAAACAATATTAGATTGAATATATGTTCTTAATTGAGGAACTGTGGGGGTAACTTAGTTTTAAAAAGTTACCATGCCCTTTATCTTTTAATCATAAAAAGATATTTATAAAAGGAGAAAAGATAAGAGAAGTCCTTATACATATATTTATAAGGATGAAATACACTAAGTCTAAGTGGATGAATTGGGTGAAAGCCAGTCACGAAGTTTGCAAAACTAATGTGAATATTTAAGAATATTCATAAGTTGAAGATCAGTGTAACATTTCAATAATGAATTATGAATATCCAAGTATGAAATCCACAATAAAAGTAATTGACTAGTAGAATAATTTGATGGAAATTAAAGCTTTAAATAAAGCTAGTAAGAAGCATGTGGATTCATAAAATATTCATTGGTGGTAACAAAATATATCTATCAAATGAATCTATCGTTGGCTAGCTATTTTTGATAAAATACTAAAGTCACATGGAAAGTCTAGCTATATATGTCTTAGATGTGACTTCACAAGGAAATTATCAAAGGTGAAATAATTTCGTAGAGAATTTAGCGGGTCTTTTAACTAGTCCACTAAAAGGAAATTAGTGGTGTCTAGTTCGAATAGGGTGGGGTTGAAACTCCTAAACTAAAAGGTCCACTAATGATGGCAACCCTACCTGTCATTACTTTAAAGGTAATCAACGGGTTCAAAGGGTAACAACAAGCCATTCGATAAGTGGATAGTTGCAGCATTATTAAAATCCATAATAACCCTATCCTAATTAAATACTGGTTGTTACTAAAGTGAGGGTTGAGTTTAAAACTCTTAATGAAATTCAGTGCTAAAACACAAGTATTTCTAAAAGTAACAAAGATATTGGAAGAACTTCATCTAAATGAACTTTGAAGTAGTGCCGCCTCAATAAAGAGTTGGAATTTCTCTCTTAAAAGTTCGTTGAATAGGATGAGCGTAAGGCCATAAAAGTGCTAAGTGAGTTGAGAAATTGGAGAACACGTGATACTTATGTATGTGTTCTTACCGGTATTGTCACAAGGAATAATTGGTTCAAAACTTCCATGTTACCTCTAATTTCGACTTTACTTTATTTTGTTTGAATTACACTATGATTAGATTCAAATCGAAAGATATCTAATCCTTATGTACAAGTGTCATTGTTTTGAATATGTGATCGTATTAATTTTGAACAAGTGGGGAATTGTTGAACATTTGTTCAAAATCAATGGAATGATGATGGGCTAATTGGTGAGCTCAATTGTGGAATTATTAGAATCAAAAGAAATTAAAAAATGCAAAATTTGATTTTTTGCCTATGCGTATGCACAAGCTTAATCTTGTATATACACGAGATATGTTTTGGTTAAAACAGAATCAAATTTGTTTCTACTATGCGTACGCAAGATTTATACTATGTATACGCATTGTGTTAAAAAATAGTCGTTGACTGATTTTTCAATTTGAAACTTGGGGGCCGTTTTGAATTTAAGTTGTCACTTTTCATCTTCTTTTGGCACCATTTCGTGATGTATTGATTGAGGCCTATAAATAGATGATGAATGATCAATACAAATACATTAGAAACATTGAAAACATCTTGAGATTCACATATCATTCCATATTGAATCAAACTATTAATTTACATTCATATTCAAGATCTTCATTTGTGTTCTTAAGTTTTGGAAGATTGCATTTGTGCTTTAGTGTTAAATCCTTTACAAGGCTTGATATAATTCTACAAACCATTTGCCAAAACCCTTAAACATCTCATTTAATCCGAAGAGGGGACAAATATAGTTTACTGACAGTGATTACGCGTTCAAACCTTCATATTCGTTATGTTCTTCAACTTCTTGATCACATTTTTGGTTGTTTGTTTTTTTTCCATTTTCCCCAGTTGATGTAAATTTTTTCAACATATAGACCTTTTAAATTTCCCGAATGGTAACTTCATAATTAACTGTAAGTAAACACAATATGACATTGGGTTTGGTTTTCAGTTTCAACTAGACAGAACATGCTGATTTTTGTCATATTCAGCCCCTAACGGGAGTATACTTTCCCTTTTCATGGTCTACAACATTCACTCTCTGTCATATTATTATCACAAGATCATATGTCAAAAGTTGTGCATCAAATAGGAGTCAATCACGACATCATCTGTAAATACTAAATACACATGTGAAAGAAGATTTTTACATAAAATTAGACATCGAACCGGAGCATTGTGAGAACATTTCTCAAAATGTAGCAAGCAATAACTTAAGGTGAAAAGTCAAAAAGGACAAAAGCAATCAATCAGAAGAACCAACTTGAGAATGAACAGGAGAAAGAGAGTTTAATTAAACAAGTAAAAGAGATAAGCTTATATCCTTATTGTAAAAAATTCAGAGGTTTTGGTAATTGGTAATTGAAGGAAAAATGGTATACAATTCAAAGCTATCGAGTAACTGTGACTCTTGTCCATATTTAATATACTGCGGGTTAGAATCTGAAAATATGGAGATCAATACATCATACAATTTCACTGCTCATGCGTCACGTGGACTTTGGTCATTGGTTATGGTGATTTGGAAGTCAACTTTGACTACATGAAGGTGCATTAACACTCCATCTAGGAAAATGCTCAGGAAACTACTTTAAATAATGTATTGTATCACAAATGAAAATGACTACCTTTAAACAGTGAAAAATATGGTCTCAAAAGATCAAGATGCTTAGCTGAAACTGATTTAACCAGTTCGAAGACCTTTCTACCCTTTCCTTCCTCAACAGTAGAATCTGTAACACCAAGAAGTTCCACTTTGTAGAATTAGGAGGCACTGCTCTTAATTTTGTTTTTTCTTCCCACTAACTCTGTATACATAACTTGTCTCACAATGAAAACTACAGGCACTATTTCAGAGCATTAGTGACTTTTCAGCTGGTGTCTCCCAACTACCCCAATACAAGAAAACTGAATCTTCTCTTTTTCTAATTTCAAAATAACACGATCTCTCTCTTTCCATGCTATGTGGTATATATGATTAATGGTGAATATATAGACGTTACATAGCTAACCAAATGGTAAATTACTTGAGTATATTGAGATTTAAAGTAACAAATTTCTAAAAAGATAAAGAAAGGAAAATAATATTTTATTGCAACCCTTTATATGCCTTTCTTTACATTATTAGTTTGCACATATGCACAAATCTAACAAATGGAATTCTAGTATAAATGGACAAAACAAAAGCTCTTCTAATAGAATAAGATAACCACAACATGTCCATCATCTATGAAATTGATTCATAAAATTAAACATTATCAGCCTCAGCTTGTGAGCAGCAATTGTTATTGAACCAACAATGTGCTTAGTAATTGTTCCTGGCTTTACAGTGAGTTGGTTATCACGGCCAAGTTTAGATTTCTTCTTCCATCCTTCATTGTTCCAATGTTTATCAATTATCTCATTCCAATGCTCTGTACTTAACCATGGTTGTCCATATCCCCTCCAATTAGCTACATTTTCTGATCCACTATTTTCCTTAGCCTTAGTTCGAGCCAAACAAAATATGTCTCGCAGCCGATCAATTGAGGCGGTGTTCCATGCTTTCTCCACTTCGTTCTCCTTATTTTTTGGCCATGAGTATTATTTCTAATGTACGTACCAAGCATTAGTATGCAACAATAAATTTATGAGGACAACAAGTATATTTAAATGAAATTTATGTTACCTGAAATCTTTCCCACAAGAATTTTTTTATGTCAACTGGCAACAAACTAAATGTAGGATAAGGTCCACCCAATTAAGATTTTAAATTAGCACTTACAGCACACGATGTCGAGATAGTAATGAATCTGAAAGCATGAAAACAGAGGCAGGGAACTTAAACCAGATAGCATGAAACTTAAAGAAGTGAGGGATTCAGGCAAATAGTCGGAAAATTGAAGCAAACAACAATTTCACCTTCTTTAAAATGTAACTTGCTAATTTTTTTAAAGCAAACGAATGACATTTTTTGTCTTTGTATCTTCAAAAACTAAATTGAAGTAGAAAGTAATTGGGGGAATAATTCACACAAGTTGATTTCAATGTCAAAGCAAAACCAACATTTTATCCCCCCACAAAGTGCTTTGTCTTCTTTCCAATTCTAACTCTCCTAAACTTAATCAATTGCAAAAATTCTACAACTTAATAAATCACAGCCTCCCATAACTTTTTTTATTGCAGCTAATCAAAACTTATCAGCACCCAAGTTTCGTCTATAAGGTTGTAAGGTTGTACAGAACACCAGACCCTTATAATCTATACAACTTGTCAAAATGTAGGAGATAAAATCTGAATTATGTACTTTTACACGGTGATTTCTTCTAAATGTATGAAAATAACCTGAAAAAATCATGAAAGGGTATCCATTTACTTCGGTGGTTAACATAGTTAAGCATAAATCATTAACCACACAAGTAGTGCAAAGTATACATCCTCTTTAGTAAGTTTTAAAACCAGTGAAATCATTTTGCATTCAACACAAAATAAATAAAGGTTCGGATACATACCTATCATCTCCAGTTTCATCTGGACAACCATTAGTACCGTGGTTAGGACCCCTTTTCCTACCATCAGGTCTATCATTGTCCTCTGATGAAAGAGATATATCGGTATCCTCAGAACCAGTTTCGGTCCAGCCATTGTCTTCCTCATCTTGCAACCTGGGAACCCTAGGCATGGAAGTCCATCTTACTAAACGCGACATCTTTAAATTCAAGTGAATTTCAATTTGAGTTGAGAATTAACAGAGACAAAACGTTGTTGCTCTACAGAATAAGCGGGGTCTGTATATGAGGAAATGTATGTGATATTTGGTGAAAGAATGAGTGGGAAGGAAAGAATTTTTTTGGAAGAATTGGGAGGGGAAAAACGAGCGGGAAGTGATTGGAAATTGGTGGTTGAATTGGAAAGGAAAAGTTGAGATTTAGGAAGGAATTTTGCGGGAGGGGGAGATGTTGGCTTTGGTCAATTTGAAGGAAAATGTTGTCGTATAGATAAAAATATAAATTCAAGATAATAACATGCAAAAATTAATAAATCTTAGATCTAAAATATTAAACCTTTTACAATTAGTTGGTATTAGATAACAAATCAATTTCAAATGGATTAATATGGGAAAAAAATTGATTTTTGTAGAGAATAGTTATTATTAATGAAAGTATTAAAATCAATAGCACAAATTGTTATTTAGTAACGCATTTCTGATTGATCGCATGACAGGTTAATCATGTTACGAATACATGACGCGGTCGTACTATTTGTTTTTTCTAATATGTAATGTCTACAAATAGCTTGATCCTCTAATTTTGATACCCTCAAGTCTTGTGTGCGATTTTGTTATAATTTTCAAAAGATACTGAGTTCTTCAACTATTATCACTCCTATATTTATGCAGAAGGGTTCGAATCAAGCGATGTTGAGTTATTAGATAGTACGTTTATGGCGCTAATGAGTTGGCAGATCGGTGCAAAAGATGGCAATTGAGTACAATCTTTTCCTAATTGTGGTAGTTTTAAACACGTTTTAGAAATTCGGCCTAACTTTCGCTCCGGTTATCAGAATCGCAATTATGACCCTAATTCGGAAAGCTCTTTTGGGTGCGGACGTCATGGCCATAGCGAAGCTAGTGGGCATCATTTTCAAGGCCAAAATCCACTGTTTTCCCTTCCAAATTCCCATTTTTGTTATTTTCTCCATTTCTAATAATATTTCGTTTGTCGTTTTCTTGATAATTATTAAATCGATTTGAGCCAGACTTTTGACAAGTTACTTCTTTTATTACGAAGTTTATTTTGATATGATTATTGAAATTTTACTATTTTTTTTATCTACATAAGTCCTCATTCTCCAGCAATTCCGGAACACACACGAAAAATAAGAGAAAAATATTCTGCATATTTTTTTCCTGTTTGCATCTCGATTTCTGTTCAGCGTCGTCATTGTAGTGATATTGTTTAGATACTAGTCAGTTCACCAAAGTAGTATATGTGGTACTCAGATTCTATAAATTTTACCATTGTATCCTGGAAAATATACGCTCGGATATAATCTCAAGCATTTATGGTGAGAGAGCGAGTCTGTTTAAGCAAACTGTGCTAGCACATGCCCCGGGTTGAAGATTTATTTATTGTCAGCAATTCACATATTTGCGATCTATTTTTGTAGATTTATTTACTTAACGATTTACATATTTGCAATTTCTTTGTAGTTTAATCTTATACTTCGTAGATTTTCCAATTTATTTTATTGTATGTGCTTCATATAATTTTACAGTTTATTATCCGTATGTAAAAAAAATCTAAAGAAAATTAATTAATGAGATAACATTCGGTTTGGTAGTTGTCCAACCGGTATTTATTTAACCAATATATGCAAATACGGTATTTCTACATTTTGGTGTATGTAAGTGCATATCCGGTATGTTAGTTGCATATACGATATCTAGCAAATACGTGCAAAATCAATCACTGTATATGAAATGGGTAAAAAACAATTTGTGCAAATTCTGTGCAAATATGATGAGCTTTCTGCAAATACGGTAAGTTACAAATATGGTAAGTAGGCTGCAAATACGTTAAGCTGTATATACGGTAAACTACTTGCAAATACGGTAAGCTGCATAAACGGTATATTACATATACGGTATGTTTAAAACTGATATCTAAATTACATATACGGTACGTGATAATCCGATTTCATTAACACCAGAATATTTGAACAATTTTCTCTCTAATTTTCAGTTGTGTATGATATGCAGCAGTGCAACTTTTTGAGAGTTGAACAAGAGGATGACATTTCCCTTAGACAATATTGGTAAATAAAGTGTTGAACAAAGAGGCAAAAGTTACGAGAAGTATGTTGGGTGAAAAGTTGGATGAAAAATAGCCATTGCATGAACATAAAAGGAAAAATTGTTTTCCAATTATCATAAACATAAAGTGGGATTTGGCATGAAGCTCAGTGGATGCGAAAAGATCGATTTGTGTAGAAGCTAAAATGAACATGAGTGGTCTAATTGCATTTACAGTGTGCTTACATAAGCAAAATAAATTAATACAAGATTCATAAAACTAATATTTGGAACGAGAATGCCTTTAACTATGAGTACTGTTATACCTCTATCTTCTGCAACATGCATACATTCCACTGGAGAAGGGGTATTTCGAGTCACAAATTTCTTTTGTGGCTGTTGACAACTCTTTTTACCATACTAAAAGTAATGGCAGCTAAAAACACTTGGACACTAAACAATCTTTGAAGAAAAAAGTCATGTAGAGATGTTATTATGAGCAGGGTATGAACCAAAAAGTTGCTTCAGTTTAGGTAAATGAAAAGAAAAAAAAATGTACATGGGAGAAAGGTGTGAACGGTATGAACCAGAAGCAAGGTAGCAACCTAATATGAGTGCTGTTTTGTTTTCGACTGCTTATGTAGCTTCCCAATGGTTGGAACTTCTTAATCAAGATATTAAAGGGCGTCCTCAAGGTAAATTGGTACTTTAAAAAGTTAAATTCAATTACTGGTAATAGATTCCTTATTTAGTATTTTATCCAATTGCAGCATTGCGGTGTAGTAATAAGAGAGTTTGGGATGTAATTAATACAGAATTACCTTACCTACTATTAAGAGGATTCTCATCTGACCAAGAGAATGATAATGCTCACTTTGTTAGGTGGAGAACAATGTTTGGACATATGGATAAAGGACTATCTGCAAAAGAGAGTCAATTGGTGAATTTCCAGCAGTGTGAAGTACTACAAGTGCATGTTTGGTAATGAGAGATGACTCAACTGAGAGTTCAACATCAGAAAAAGACACCCAAGGATGAGCAGCAAAACATGGCTATAAACCGAGCTCTGCTAAATTATATCATACAAGCTAAGTTGGTGAATTTAACAGTTCCAGTAAAACTTCCTACATCAAATCAGTGGCAGCGAACCATAATCCATAGAAAACATGTTTAATCACGGCAAGTCCAGCTCCAACCAATATAACTTCTGATCACAATTCACTACCTCTGCTTACTCTACACAACAGAATGTGTTTAAGTGCCATGGTAATAGTAAACTTTGCTAGACTTTGGAAGCCATAACATCAAATTATTAACAAACCAAGTAAAGAAATGACATTAAAACGTCCAACATAGTAGAGGTCTCAAATAGAATACAAGATTGTCCACCAAGATACAAGGGATGCCAACAAAACAAATTGTGTCCAGCATGAATTCAATGCAGCTCTCAGCACAAAAATTCATTATCATCCAACAGATACAAGGTGTCCAATTTAAACACATAGAGAGTGAATACTAACAGGTTTAGTTAGGAGATTTCTGCTAGTATTTGACATGGGTTTGGCTGCAGTGCAAATCGCCATATTTGGATTCCTGAATCATCATTTCTTAAAATCACCCAATTACTCAAATTTAGTTACTTGAAACATCATAGCTCCTTATATAGCACCCTTGTCCAGTCTGGCCACCATTCTCGTTCCCATATACTGGTCAGATGACATCCTGCATTAAGTCCATGAAAAATATGAACAACGACATAAATAGTTAACTAACAAATGAACTAAAAATGAAAAGAATAATAAGAATACAATTTTCTCCTTCACTTGCACTTGTCGTGAAACCATCACCACTATCAATGTAATCTGGTTCTACATTTTCTTCTACATCAGGACTTTCTTCTACTTCTACATTGGACATCCTAGAGTCAGCCCAGACAACTTCTTCAGCCCCACCATCGTCACAAGCTAAATTTTGGTAATCGAACTCTGATGTTATTTGAACAGGTTGCTGGGTAGATGATGGTTGATCCTCTTGGAATGCAAGTTCCACCCACACATTATACTCTTCATTCTCCAATATGATTCCTTGTCTATTGGGAACATTTCTTGCTTTTATTTTCACAACCGCCCACCAATCAGCTCTATCTCTAGCTTTTGTAGGAAAACATGTATAATATACTTGTGAGCTTGTTGAGCAGGTATAAACACATCATTTGTCTATAGTTTCTTCTTGTGATTAAGCTCGACAAGATTGAATCTTCGATGGACTCTAACCCCACCATTGGTGTCAAACCAATCACACTTGAATAAAATAACCTTGCTTCCAAAATCCCCTAAATATTCCAGTTCCAATATTTCAATTAACCTCCCATAGTAGTCGCGCTCATAATCAGTATGACAACTTCCCACTACACACACACCACTGTTCATTGTTGCTTTGTTGGAACCATAGTCTAAAGTGTGAAACTTAAAACAATTGACAAAGTATCCGTTATAATGTACCATTGTACGAGAAGGACCCATAGCCAAAGCCTTAATGCAATTATCAACTGCCTTATGATCGTCCAAAACCTGAACAAAAGCAATAATGTGCATTAGAACTCCTTTTATCAATCACTTTGTAGCCAGTGGAGACAATATTTGCATAATCACTTAAATATTCCCTCAACCAACTTGAAAAATGTTCCTCGCGTAAACCATCAAATTGTGCATTAGAAATTTGGGGATACAATATTCTCATATGTTTATCAAACTCCCTACATGAAAGTGAAAAACCATAATGCAGCTAACTAAATATACAATTCAACATATAAATTTCAAATGTAATTATAACAACTTACGCCACAAAAGGGGTTACTTCCTCGCAATTCAAGAGCACATATATTGAAGCTACTCTGAATTCCTCAATTGTCATTAATCTGACATTATGATGTTGAATGCCAAAGGATCATCCAGAGTGAGTAAAAATCGATAGTCGTCCTTTAGGATTGACAAAACCTCCATCATCATTTATCAACACACGGTTCAACCTTGTTTCAACATGTTGATCAAAATATAAAGAGCAAAAAGTAGAAGTTTCTTCTACTAGGTATGCCTCTACAATAGATGCCTCAACATGAGCCCGATTTTTCACCTTCTTTTTTAAGTGGTGTAGGAACCTGTGATACATGAAATTAATAGTCAATACCATTCTCATTTCAAAAGGTAATTTAAATTTTGAAGAATATTATACCTTTCAAAAGGATGCATCCAACAATACTGAACACGACCTCCAACCTTTGCTTTATATGCTAGATGAATAGATAAATGTTCTATTGAATCAAAAAATCCCGGTGGAAATATCTTTTCAAGCTTGCATAATATCACAACAATATTTTGTTCCAATTGCTCCATATCTTTCACCCTCAACACGGTAGAACATATATCCCTAAAGAAGTGGCTAAGTTCAATTAAAGCTTCCCAAATTGGTTTCGACAAAAGATCTTTAAATGCAATCGGTAGCAATCTTTGCATAAAAATATGACAATCATAGCTCTTCCTTCTATGGAACTCACAATCACCCTTAACACAACATGAAATGTTTGATTCACAACCATCAGGCATTCTTAGATTCCTAATCCAATTGCATACTTCTCATTTTTGTACAGTAGTTAAGTTATAGGAGGCCTTTGGCATGAATAGTTTTCCTTGTTCATCTTCATATGTATGAAGCTTCCGATGGTTGCAATAAAGCTCGAAATCCTTTCTAGCCTTGAAGTTATCTTTATTTTTTTCCTTTCATAACCATAATTGTATTCAATACATTTTCGAATACATTATTTTCAATGTACATCACATCTAAATTATGCATTATGAGATTTGTATTCCAGCAAGGCAACTCCTGGAAAATGCTCCTCTTTACCCAATTATGGCTATGACCAAAACCTTCGATTTCTTTTCTCTTATCATCTCTGCCACTTGCAATGTGTGGGAGGTTTTCCGCTATACTTTGCAAGTCTTCACTGGTTAGCCTATGTTGTGCCATATCCTTCTCAACTCTACCTTTTATAAAATTTGTCTCTTAATTTTCAAATGCATGGTCAAGTGGTAGGGATTGACAGTGACAACCATAAAAAGATTTTTTTTCTCCATTTTTAAGCCTAAAAGATTTAGTTTGACCCATACAGTATGGACAAGACTTCAGGTCGTGCATACTTCATCCACATAATATACCTAATAGTCCAAGTCAATGCAGCTTTCAACTAAAAATTCTACTTCATTTGTATGTCAATGTTTCAATACCTTCACCCTAAAGCATTTTTAGTTCATTAATGAAAAGATGCTAATAAATATCAAGATTTTTCCCTGGGCTCTTCGGTCATGGGATAACCATACTAAAAAAATAAGTTATATTGTTGTTTACACAAATAGCGGACGATTTACACATTAATTATTACTAGCCAACATGAGTATTGCACATTTGACATGCTAAAGGTGTTGAACCCATCTGCACATAAACGAAGGCGTACAATACATGGTTTAAGGGAAAATTAAGGAAAAGTTCTATCAAAGTAATTCCATGCCTCACTATGTATGGGGTTGATATTTAAATATAAGTTAATTGATTATTCGAGAGCCATAATATGTACTCTATAATATACCTCGACATATATAGTCGTTCAAGCTTAGATGTTAGAGGTAGATATCGCAGTACCTTCTTCAGTTAACCATTCCCATTAAAAAGAAATGATCAATATTAACTGCATTATTAACTAAATGCTACAGATTTAACAACTATTCAGAAAAAATTAATTTACACTTTTCAATCAAGAAACTCTTATCATTAAATCCTTAAGTTGAAATTAAGAATTCAAGAGAGGAATGGGTTGTATGCGATTAAAATTAGACCCATTTGCAGTGAACTAATCTCATAAATGGTAAAATCAGATTACCTTGAAGGTTTGTTCATACACGTACTCAGATAACTATTTCTTATCTTTAACGGATGATGTCTACTGAGAAGGAGGCAAAAAGCGGGCTTCAATCGCTAATGTTAAAGATCCAATTAAGATTTTAAAGATTGAAATCTCTATGGCAGGGAATGAGAGAAGAATGGGAGAGACACGATGAATTGGGGGAGAGGAGAGAAATTGTGTATTTTGTTTTGGTTTGTCTTCTTTGATTTATATTTGATTTATTTTTAATTCCAATAAATTTAGTAACATAACAAATTGTAGGTAATATTTTAGATTTAAATATAATTAATTTCAATAATATTACCAACGGATTCTCGATGGATAAATTCGTAGGTAGATTTAATTTTTTTATTTTTTTTTATTTTTTACTTTTTGTATTTTACTAACAACTTTAGGATGTTACAATTTTTGTTGGTAAAATTTTATATTTTTATTTTATTAAAAATTTTAGCAATGGATCAACAACAAAATCTCAGTGACAACTATATGTCGTCGGTAATTCAGTTGCTAAAACATTTACATTATAATTATAAATTTTTTAAAAATATATCGTTGGGAAGTCGTTGGTAATTCGTTACTAATAGCAACAAATTGAGTTCGTTGGTAAAAATCCGTCTCTAAAGCCTCCTTTTCTAGTAGCGTATATTATTCCTTTGTTTTCAAGAAGGTAAAATAACAATAAATTGCTTTAAGCTAATGATTTTTAATTTTCGAGGTCTTTTCCTTGTCATTGTAGCTATTAATATACTTCAATAAAAATGGTTTTTGTAAAACAAAAGAACACACTTTCAAAAGAACAAGATGACTTCAAAGATTCCTGGCTGAATTTTCATTTTCACATTATTACTGATAAGAATCCAGTTGCTATACATCTGAATGCTAAGACTTGAGACTATGAAACAGTTAAGAAATCTAAGCAAAAAATTTATTAAACAAATTAAAAATAAATTATTGAAATTGTGTAATGAAGAACAATTTATTTTTGATTTGTTTAATAATTATTATTATTTTATTTTTTTTTGTGTGTGTGTGTGTGTATATATATATATATATTGAACATGTGAATTAAGTTAAGCACTATGTGAGAATGTGTTGTTTTCATAATTAGATAGGTTGAAATAGTGGACTATGGATGTTAAACCTAAAATCACTATATTTTTACGTCCTTAGACCAAATATGAAGTAGTTTGGGAGATTTCATTGTTATAGGAAGATGTTGAGATAAATTGGAATTCTATATGTGAAATTAAAAATCTTATGTGGATTGTCTAAAGTTAATAGGATGAAATTAGACGAAAGTCACAATATAGAAGTCGGTTTATTTGGAATGGGAATATTGAACTGATCAAAGCATAAAAAGATATTTTATTTGAAATTTTCTCTTCGTATACTTTATGACTAAAATTTTTTTAGCCTGCAAGGGTGTTAAAACTTGTTATCCTAAAGTCAACTGACTTGTGACTCATCGGCTTGAAGCTCACTAAAGGTGTAATTTAAAAATTTAGAGGAGAGAATGCTGTAAATAAAGAAAAAAGTAGTGAAATAAAAAATTGAGAAAAAAAATAGAAAAAACATGTGGATGAAACAGAAGATGCACCAAATGCCTTGGTTTAAGTTTCAAGCACTTGTTTAAGAAAATTTGACTTTTGATAAGAGATTATTAATCTAGTTGAGTTTTAGAGATTGAAACAATCAAACTATGTAGAGAATTCATGTGTATCAACGTGTTTGATTTGGAATTACTGAGATTTACCTAAACTAGAGAGGTAGGGATAATATAAATTCAACTTAAGGTCACACACTTGAAAATAGCGAAAATAATAAGTTTGGGGATATATGAATCTTACGAGTGATAAAAGAACATATTTGAACCTTGAGGGTTGAGGGTTGAGAATTGAAACTATTTATGAATTCGCGATGCTATACTTAATTCTTCACACACACACATCGATTTAACATTGAAAAAGTATATTTTAGTTTCTGTATTGTGATTTTGAAGCTATGTATAGATTTGAGTTATGATTTCAATCCTAGAATAAAAAGTCGGGTTAACAAGCTAATTTTTTTCCCATTGCTTGATTGCCTAGTCCCTAATTAGATAATTAGCACCGTTTGTTTATGTGTTTGTTAGGTTTTAGTTTTGTTTAAGGACAAACAAAGATTCAAGTTTGGATATTTGATAAGATGAAATTTTACTACTCTTATGATAAAATACTACCTAACTTATATTATATTATATTTTATAGGTAAAACTCAATGTTTGATGAGGAATTGGAGAAAAGAATGCAAAAATGGTGAAAAAAAAAGGAAGAAATCCAAAAATCGGGGATTAAATTGTAAACAATCTATAGATGAGATGGACGATGAAATGAAGATCAAAGATGTCAAGGATTTAAATAGATACAATTGGAAGATAAATAAACAATAGTACAAGAGAAAATGGCTAAAATGAAGTAAATTCAAAGTTCGGGGGCTAAGTTTAAATATTCAAAAGTCGCATCGAACCATACGAGGAGGATTCAAGAGTGTTAAGGATTAATCAGATGGGGAAAGAAGTTAAAGGGATAAAATATAGTCAAAGTATTATCATATATCAACATTCAGGCGAAAAAGTTATGCTACGAATTTTCAGTCTCAATGTAAGACCAATTTTTGGCATAGCAAATATTCAAATTGGAAAAATGATATCTCTGAAAGAATTGTAACCCATTGAGGTAGTGTCCAAACATACTTTGAATCGCTTCAATCGAATATCAGGAGAGAATTATATGACCAAAATACTGAAAGTTGTCCAATAAGATAAAAATTATAACTATGTGGCCACATAGCTTTAATTAGATGCAACCACATCTATTCCTTTAGAGCTCTTGGGACTAGCTATGACTTCTTCTAAGAGGTTGCTTCAATTTGTACTATGCGACCACATTATACTTTTTCGAGATTAGATTGTCTCATTTTCCAATTGAAATTCACTTTAGCAATAATCTTTTTCAGTATCCTTTAAATAACATAATCTGTTAGAGCGAAGGGATACCTCCTTAGATTTAAAAATTCATAGATTCAATATATTTTGGAGGTGAAGAACGAAGCTTAGTCATCAACATCAAGGGCATTGTACAAGATTTTTGGAGACTATCCATCCAAAATCAAGATTTCATTCAAGAAAGTAGATTTTTCCATCTTCTGCCATATTTCTTCAATCCGAGTGATATCTTTTCATTATTTATTGTATAACATAATAATTAGGATGACTGGCCAGATTTTCTCATTTTATTAGATGAATGATGAATCATATTTTTTATTTTTTTTAATTCAAGACAATTAGTGTTGTATTTCTTAATTTTTCTTGATTAGTTTTGCGATTCTCATTGAACTATTTGATTACTTGATTACCAATTAAATAGTGAGTTACTTATTTTAGTGTAGGAATACTCATAATAAATTTAAAACACAACAAAATCAATACACGGGCAATCAGTATTAGGAATAATATACATATCACATGCAATCATATGTGATAAATCCTATGAATCAATGTATGTTTTTCATATGAATTCGGACTAGGAATATGATTGGGTCGTGTTAAACATATGTTTAATATATCTTGGAAAAGATTATGAATAAAAGTGGATTATAGATTGTCTCGAATACATGAATTTACTAGATTAAGAATTAAGAATAGAATTAAATGACATTAAGAAGATTCACGATTCGAATACAAATATTCACATATTAACAAATTCTTTATTTGCTTTCTTAGTTTATGATTAATATAGAAAACATACAAATAATCTCTTTTGATGTTACATGACTTCGAATTTGGCAAAAGCTATTGAACTAGATATTAAACCTTATTCTTCGTGAAAACGATAAACTCAAAACTTACTGATTTTTATTACCTATCAACTATCTTGTACGCTTATGGGTTTCATGCAAACATTATGCTTCATTAATTTCTTTTTAACTATTTCTTATATAATACTAGAAGTAGATTATAATGTCTTTCTCTACTTGTAGAACTCTTCATTGATAGACTAAAACTCTCTCTCTCTCTCTAACATGTTACATAACGTGGACGACGATGACACATTTTGTCGTCCACTCCTGCCAACATAGACCCTGCAGGCAATACATCGTCCTATATTTACCCAGTATGGTCCAAATGCAATTTAAGGCTACATTTTTCCATACTACCTTCTGTCAAATATTATATCAAAAACAACAAATTCTTCAAAGCACCCCTTTTAATTCTTCAAAGGAAGGAACTCAAAAAATTGGTATTGACCACCGAAATCAGAACTTGTGGCTGCAGCTGAAACCTCTACATCCTTGTCAAAAGCACTTTCATTTTCATGGCAGCTTCGAGGTGGAAACAATTGGAGGGTTTCGGATTCCCTACAGTCGTCTAAACATTGTGAATTATAGGGCCCGGGTTGGAGCTCGTGCAGGACAGAATTACACCACGGGATCTCGTGGTTTGAGATGTTAAAATCTTGAAACTTCATACGATTTGGATCAATTGCTGTATGAGTAGAGTTTATTAGCTTAGTGTGAGAGGATGAACCAGACAAATGCGTCATTTGCAACCTGTTTTTCCTTTCTACGAGGTTTCTCCTTTGCTGTAATTCTGTCTCCTCAAACTGTAACCATCCATCTGCTTTATATTCTGCATCTGCTGCTTTTTCTGCCTGTTGAGTAGAAACCGATTAATTTCTGATAATCAAATCCTTGTTAAAGGTACGCTAGATAAGAAAATTTAATAGCAACCCCATATCAATGTTATATATCTTCTCCCTCCAAAGTGATCAATATTCAATAATATTGATGACAAGTGCAGTTTAAGTAGGTTTAATTGCCTTTTAGCTTTTCGATATGAATATCATAATCAAAGATCTTTCTATGAAGAAACTAATTATGAACCTAATGATCGAACTCATCTTGAAACATTGGGATCTAATTAAGTTGAAGGCAAAATATCACTATTCCAAAGATATGCTTAAGCGCAGCTTCCAACAAACCCTAGGTTTCTAGAACTGTTTCATAACAAAATATAGCAGCCTCGACAGAAAGGAAGATTTGCAGCTTTTGTACCCTTTACATTTCCCAACAACCAAGCTTTTGATGCTTCTTCTCCAACTCTAAATATGTACTTTTTTCAATCCTATAATATCAAATTATTGCATGATCACGTGATCATGTAATCATGTCGTTATTATTAGCTTATTAATAGATTTCTGGTGTATGATTGGCTTTTTGTATAAACTACCAAGAAAGAAAGCAAATAAACGTAAAATAAACTCTATAATATATATACTCTTTATATGACTAGATAGCAAGATCCCCACTTTAGGGTAAGACAAATTTATTCTCGAATTATTTTACAAGCACAGAAAATTTGTACTTATAGCTTGACAGATGCATGCATGAATTGATTTAAATTTCAAAAATTCAAATCAACCTCATGCATCTGTCAAACTTCTGTACATATAGCAAAGCTCTTTATTTTCTTTATTTTTCATAGGTTGGCTAAGCCTTCCTCGTAAGTTGTACTTTATTTTTATTTTTACTTTAATATGTTATTAATAAAACTCCTCATGCGAAATTAGGGGAAAAAGTGAAAATGTAAATAGACCTCTGCAATTGTACTAGAGTTTGTAGGAGATGCCCAGTTTTTTGGCTGTTCAGCTTCAAATAATGTCCTACTTGCTTCTGTAGACAAAAAGAAAAACAAAAATAGAATGCGACTTTACACCTCAAGAAACAATCTGAATAGAAAAAAGTATCACAAATCAAACATCAAAATAACTTTATGTGACTAATAATACTAACTTACAAAATGGATCAGAAAGGACACTAATCTATACTATCAAACGAATCTCTCTCTTTCCGTCTCTCGTTTCTCATGCAAGATTTTTTATCTTTCACAAAATTACAGCACTTCAAAAAGAAAGTAAATATTGTATTAAGATAAGTAAAAGTTTTTTAACCTGATTCTTTCCATTCACCGTTATTATCTGGCTGATCGTGGGATGTGGATTCGTGCTGACGCCTGCGTTTTTGCCTTTCTCTAGCCTTATGATTCTGAAACCAGTAAAAGACATTCTTCCCTTCAATCTTTCCATATCGACGAAGCTGTGAAGTTATGAGCTGAATTTGTTCTGCTGAAGGAGTTCTGGTTCCCCTTCGGTACAGTTCTTCGAGGGTTTGAAGTTGTTCCGGTGTGGGATTCCAGCGCGAGCTCACCATGATCTGCTGTGTGTTAAAATCCCTCTTGTTTTGCTCTGTCATTGCTGCTTAAATACATAGTCAAAACCCATGAAAAGGATTAATTGCGTGTAGAATTTTGGCTCGACCGACTTATCTGAAAGCTTAAATGGATAGAGTTTTTTCAATAGATACACACATGGAGGAAACAAACTTACCCAGATGGTGATGATTTAAAACAAGAAGATCAGATTCATGATTAATGAGGTTTGTAGCAGCAGTAGAGGCTGGTCTTGGAACAATGGGCCGAAGTTTTCGACCATTAAACGAACTTTGAATACTATGAAACTCTCCCCTGTCATTATATCCCATCATCCACATCTTGTAATGCCTTAAGCAAGGCGAATTCTTGATGAAAAATCAAAATAGTTTGAAGAGAGAGAGAAAGAAGATACGAGGTTGACTGCAGCTGGGCGCATAGGGGAGACAGTCCCAAATATTGAACGAGAGAGAGAGAGGATAAAAAATCAGAAAATAAAGGAGGGAAATGGAGGGAGAAAGAAGAGAAGAGCGAGCGTGGAATTCTGGGGGTTATAGGAATACGTGCAGGAAAAACGACGTGACGATGATGAGTGTTATCATAAGGCTCATCACCTCATTTATTGTTGTTGGTATCTCCCGCATCGTCTCGTGCCTTTCACACTTATTCTCAATCCGAACTGCCCCTCACCTTCCTCAGTCTCAATACCCTTTCCTTTGTCTTTTCTCTCTCTTGCACACAAATCCAAATGTACGAATAAAGTATAATATTGTGGTGTGTGAATAAAAATATACATCATTCTTATATATTTATCAAACTCTTGCACGCAGAGCACATCTCCAAGTGGTAAAAGGGGAGGGTGGAAAAATTTAGCTTTGCTTGAAGCTGCCGCGTCAAGGGTTCGAATCCTGAAATATGAATTTGGCTTTTGGGTAAGTGCAAGTGTACAAGCAGCCTTCCACCCTTTACTCTTGGAGGCATAACCTGCGATTTACCTCCCTCACGATGCTCCAAGACAGGGGCGGTGGAGGACTCTTAAGGTTGGGGTTCAACCTTTTTTTTTTTTTTTTTTTTTATCAAACTCTAAATTTATAACGATTAGAGTTTTAAAATTTGTTAAAAAAGTAATATATTTAACCTCATTATATTCCAACTTTACTCTTTTTAAATTCATTTATATAAACATTATATATCCACAAAGTTTAATAAAAACAAATTATTTATAGAAAAAAAAACATATATGATGCTAATGGATGAAATTGAAAACGTAAAATAACATTGAGCAAGGTAAATTGATCGATAGCGTCACGTGCAAGATTATTATAAAGAAATTCTAAGGACCAAAGTAGTTTGAGAAAACAAAAATAGAAATTTACACAAATAGAAATGGATGTGTAATTGAAAAATATTATTTGATATCCCAAATCTAATATTATTTGTAAAATACTACATGCCAATACAATTTTGAAAATAAGAAATTTCTTTCCACGAAAATTGATCATAATATTTAATCGGTTATCTTACCATTGATTATTAGAGGTGGAAAAAAAATTACGTAACCAAAAAAATGGAATCAGAACTAAATGGTTTTGTCCAGTTTCATGGAAAAAATAAAATTTAATTTTTTGATTGTTTAATCTCAAGAATCGCATGATTCAGTACGTTTCTCGATTTTGCTACCTAAGAATCAAAGTCACCGATGGAACCAAAGTCACTGCGTTAGTCTTTTTCTCCTTTTGATCTATGCATTGCGCTAATAACTCAAAGACCGAACAATTCATCCACTTAATTGAAGCCATCAATTCATTGTGTGTGTGTGTATATATATATATATATATATATATATATATATATGATATTACCAAAACTTGCACCAATTAATTCCCGAGCTTAAGGACAAACGAAGCACACTAACAAAGGCTCCAGTACCTGAAATGAAAGCAACGAGGTGTCACCTCGTCGCCCCTCCAATGTTTAAGTTAGTGAGAGGGAAAAATATAAGAGTAAGATTATAAACTGAATTTAAAAGTGTACATAAATAATGATCCAAGACTTTGTATTTATAGAGATAGGTAATACAATCCTAGTATGATTAAGTAGTGTACTCTTAGTGGGATAAGTAATTGAGTATTTTTATCTGATTAAGGAGTTGTGAAGCGTTTGAATGAGCATAAAACACTGATGGTAGAGTCTTATTAGATTAACAACATTAGTGGTTTCGTTAATAGACTTGAATCACCTCCTTGGGGTTCTGCACACCATCCTGAGGAGCCTCAACCCTGTTGATCAAAGACACGTAAGTCAGAGTACCTCAAGCTCGCTCGTTGGGGAGTGATCCTCGGAATACCAAAATTGGGAACTTCTTGATAGAAAAGAGAGGAAAAAGGACAGTGACACTATATGTCCAAGGGCTTTAAAAGCTCGAGCTCATTTAGGGATGACAATCGGGCTCGTCGGCTTGGACCGTCCGTGACTTGGTTTGGGGCTCGGGCCGAGCCCCATTTTGGGGACACAGGCTTTGCCCGAGCCGGCCCGTGAGCTCGTAAGCTTTTCAAAAAAAAAATAAATAAATAAAAATTTGAGGTTGCCTTGACAGTAAAACTGCTGCCTTTTAAACACAATAGCGCTGCCTTAAAAGGCAACTAAGTGCTGCCTTGCTGAAGGCAGTAGCTTAGAAAAAAAGGGGAGAAAACGAGTTTGCCCGATTCGGCCCGAAAAAAGTTCGAGCCTTTTTTTTTGGTCGAGCAATTGAGCCAGCAAAAAAGCTCGATCATTTTAACGAGCCAAAACTTTAGGCTCGCGAGCCGACTCGACCCGGCTCGTTTACATCCCTGAGCTCACTCATACGAGCCCGAAGTTGTTCTAACTGAGGAAAAGAGTGACTTCGAGTTCGACCACATAAACTCGAGGATGTTATAGCCCCAGGAGAGTGCTCAAGGTTATCATGATCTCGAGCATGAGGTCATGGATGATTAGGTCATGCAAGAATTGTACGCATCAATATACACACACACACACACACACAAGGTTAAAAATGTAATATAGATTTTTAAGCAAAGGGGTTGTTATATTGGTACCATGATTTTTATTTGTTAAACTACATTTTAATTACAGTTAAGTTCCTCAATATTTGCTTATTGTAACAATTATTTTCTTAAGTTTTTCATTGAATTTTTATCTTTCAACTTTTCATTAATTAGTACATCTCGTCCCTGATGATGATTTATGTCAAAATATTTTGTTTTCATGCTTTAAACTGAGGGAAAAATGTTTTTTGTACTTTTTTATTTATTTATTTTTTAAAAAAATGATGAGAAAATAAGTTACACGCTTTTTCAACGAACCTTTTGAATATAAACTGTTATCAAATACAAAATATGTAAACTAATAAAAAGTTTAACGATATAAATGTTATAATGAATAAAGATTGAGAACCTTAAATTTTAATTAAAATATTGTGCAATAAATAAAAATTATGGTGTGAATAGAATTACTCTTGAAAAAATGGATAGATACATAAGACAAGTAGTTGTATTATCAGTAGAATTTGTTTTTTCATTACATTTTAAATCCACTCCAATTAAAATAAGTTTTTAATGATATATCACCTCAATTTGACTAATAAGACCCAACACAACTAAAAATTAGGTACCACAGTAATTCCACGAATTTATATGTACACCACATTGNNAAAAATCTCCTCCTCCTTCTCTTTTTCCTGTTGGATTGTGTGCCCATATAGTATATATTGCTATGATAAAAAAATTATTTATAATAAATAAATTGTGACTTTATTCATTTATTGTATTTATTTATTATTGAACATGCAATTTAAAGTGTTAATGATTACTTGTGATAATATAAGTTGGGAACTTACGTTGAGAAGTACAATGGCATAACTTATAATTTGATTATAAATAATTTGGTCGACTATGTCATAATCTTTTGAAACAAGAGGCCTCTCTATGTTATCAACCTATGCAAATGACACTGTAAAGAGGGTGCACGAGGAAATAAAAAATAGCATAAGCAAAGACCAAGTGGTTCATATTTTGAAAAGGTCCATATTATCTTTAGTGACACATTTTTAGGAGTATTTAATGCTTGATTTAAAAGTCATTAATGTTGTGATGTGATGATTTGTTTTGTATATTATAAATATTAGAGATATGATTATTATATTAGATAGTATGAATTTTGGAAAAAGAAAAAAACGCAACTTTTTACCATTGACAAACCCTAACTTCTTATCCATCTTCTTCTTTTCATCATCGAGAAGACATTACTATTAAATTCATCATTCATTTTTCAGAGGTTAGTTATTAGAAATTATTTATATTTTTATCTTATAACTTACTATTTTAAATATTAAATAGAACATAGTCATATTTATTTAAAATTTTTGAAACTCTTATTCATTGATTTGTTTGATTCTTAATATCTTTTTGAATGGAAAAGATATCAACATCCTTTAGAAAATATGAAGGATTCCATAATTAATGAAGTATTGAGTTGTTCCTTATTTATTTTTGGGAAGATGTTGTGATGCTCTAGTTGAGAATTGATTATCACTATTAATGTTTCGAATAATTTATTCCAAGGTACCAAATACATGTTTTCAAGCTTCCCGACAATTTTGACAGTTCAATTATCGAATTTGACATTTCGAAAACGTCATATTAGACATCACAACTGTCGAACTCGACATTTGGAAACGTTGGGATAAATAATTTAACTGTTTGGATTCAACCATTCATTTTACCTTTTGTCATTGAATGAACTTAAATATTCAAAAATGCACTTTCATGCTATTAAATATCGACACATTGATTGTGCAGGGTACTTACCGTTGCAATATCAACTTTTCAGGTATTAGTAATCATTTGAGATTCATCGTGTCGCATGAACGAAAGTTTGTTTATGTGGATGATGAATGGAAGTGAAGAGTGGACAAAACCACTTTCATTTTAGTTCTGACAGGTATTACAAATGCACTCGTTATAGTAGAGTTGATCATAATCGGCCACGTGTTCTAACCCCATTCTAACACAACTAATATAAATAGGCTTGATGTCTAGAAGTAGTTGAAGTTGTATTTTGAATATTCTCCTAATAGCGTTGTACATTCGAAAATTATATTATGATTTTATTATTGTTTGAAAATATTAGTCGTGTTTAAGTTCACAAGAAAAATAATTATATACACAAAAATTGCATACCATCCGACAGAAGGATTCTATCATTTTCGACAGATGGTTGCAAAGTAGAAAATTTGACTACAAAAAGTATATAAGGGACATGCTGTTCCCGAACATATTCTCAAATTACATTATTATTAACATTTTATTAGTATTTGCAAACATTGCATAACATCTTGACAATTAAACTATCGATCTCGACAAGAGATTTATGTCATTCTCAACAGTTGGTTGCGAGCAGAAAATATAACTACAAATAAGAAGTACAAGGGATAAGTTGTTGCATAACATTTGGTAAAGACGTTACTCTATTTATCCCTGACAAAATTATAATACATAACTTAACAAATTTTCTGGTGCTAATTGAACAATCCAACGAGTATAAGAAACGAGAAATGATAAAATATGTCACCACATGTGGATGCAACCACTAAATCATGTTTATAACTACATTTTTTGAGGGAAACAAAATGAGTTCATTGATTACACAAATCAATTCTAATGTATTATTAACAAATTTGGTCACACTATTTCTTTATTCTTTTTCTTTTCTCCTTGGTGTTTGGAGTCCTGGTAGATGCTGCAGGAAATCGAATGTATGTCAATCATTGCCTCTTTATGTTAACAACATCGTTACTTTCGATGAGTATGGTGGTCACCTCCATCACGCTACAAGTTGAGGGAACTTTCTCATTGTTTGGGCA